AGTGTGAAGAAACTACAACGAGAAAAATGACCGCCACAGATTTGTGTCAGATGTGTCAAAACTCATTCTCATTGGGGAGCTGTACTGTTGAATGTTAAACCAGACCTATGAAATTTAAAGTCGAAAATTATTATCTGAATCTTTTTTGAAGTTGTACTGTAGTGTAAATGAGTTGTACTGTAATGTAAATGAGTAATGTTTGCACATAGAACACAACTTTCCATTCATAACACAGACAAATAAAATACATAATAAATTCATTATTAAATATTATAAGCTAGAGTCACAGGGTCACCCACATTGTGAGCGTCGACCAGGCAGCCCACAGTCTGTAGGGGCCAGAAGGTGTCGTACTGGTCATAATGCTGTCCACTGCTCGGGCTCCAGATCAGGTATCGATTCTGATCATATGTCAGCACGTAGGCTGTGGGTACCTACAAATAAAACTGTTAATACTTGTAGTTTTCTTTCTCCAAACACAATGACAGTGCTGCCACAAGTTTGACCAATTTATACCAATTTGACACATCAGGCTGCAATATGCAAACAGTATAAAAAAACTAGATAATATGATTCCTGTGACTCCAGTGTGACTTATATATTAAAATTTTCACACTGACAGTCACTAGAGGGCGCTCTAGGCTTGTATGTCAGTATCTGCTACTACTATTACTCCTATACCACTGTCATTTCACTCTACTGCGCATGTGTCCAGCAGAAAGAGTCCTGTCTGTATCATGTATGTCAGTCGATCGCATTATTTCTGTACCAATGTAAAAATGTAAAATTTAAATAAACTTATAAAGGCAACTGAGAAGACTGAACACAAATGCCCCCCAAATCATATATTGCAGATTACAAGCTTCAAGTAGCAAAAAATGCAGCCGAAAATGGTAATCGAGCAGCAGAAAGAAAGTTTGGAGTGAGCGAGAAACACCAGGAGGGTGCATCATTCAACCTTCCTGGAATCACTGGATGGATGGACAAAGCCTGGACTTCAGTGACAACCAAAACCATCTTGTTGGGATTCAGAAAGGCCAGAATAATTCTACCTGGAACTGATGCTGAGTCTGACTACAACTACACAGAAGAGGAAGCAGCTCTCCGTTTACCTCTGGAGGTTGCGGAGTTGTTCACAAGTGACACTGAGGATGAAGAATTCAATGGATTTAATGATTTGGAGTGAGATGTAGAGTTTGGTAAACTTGTTCTTTTCTGTTGTTTATGCTACAGTTATCTGAAGAACTGTTCATATGTGACATTAACAGCCTGTTTTTCTCTGTTCCATTGTTATTACTATCGCCTGCCTTTCAAGATGATATGTCGGTTCCTGGTCTCTGATTTTATAAAATAAATTTCCCCCAAAAAGTTCGACTTATATTCCGGTGTGACTTACATGTTTTTTTTCTTCTTCATTATGCATTTTTTGGCTGGTGTGACTTACATCCCAGAGCGAATTATAGTCTACTTTACTGTCCTCATAATAAAATGTGTATGGGTTGTGTTAGAGTGTTGGGGTAAAAGCAAGGAAACTAAAATAGACCAAGTAGGAAAAATTTGTGCAGTATGTTGTGCAAGAAAATAAGAAGAAAATAGCTTCAGTATGAAAATGACTGAAGAACTGCTGTGTGTCTGTGAGTCAGGTGGTGTATTTTATAATAAATACCTGTACCTGTTTCCTTCTCCACAGTTTCCACTTATCCAACTGTGTGTTGTAGTCGTCCCACTTTCTTTTATACTCCTGTTTAGCTTCTAACTCCAACTCTATCACCTCGGCCATAATCTCCCTCTCATACTTCTGCTCATCCATTTCAGGGTCTAATATCTCTCTACAAACAGCACAAGAGAGACAAAACAATAATACTTAATATGGAACAAAAATACTAAAAAGGACAAACCAAAAGTGAACTTTTAAATCGCACGTATGATTATTTGTACTGTCTGAGCTGGAGTCTGTATGGTGTGTTGGTGAACTTCTGAAAGTCTCTCAGGGTTTTCAAGTCTTTCCAAACTTTAATAATATTCTTCAACAGAGTCCTGTCTCTCTCCTGTTCACGGTCTCACAACTGATGGGTGTCCCTGCAACTGCCAATCAAACACACCCAGAATTATTCAGTTTATCAAAATGTTGGTGACAATACAGTGGTAAGGTAACACACAAAGAGAAAATGTTGGCCAATTTTGTGTCTGGTTATAAGGTAAAAACCTATGTTTCACTTAAAGGTGAACTTGTTTATTTAACTTGAGAAAAACAGTGGTTGTTTCTAAGTAATAAGTTGGTATCTCCAGGTATTCAAAATGTTTACAAAAGGTAATTTTATACTACAAAAGTGATACTAATGGTATAATAATAGGTAATCATTGTACGCAAAGGACACTGCTTTTGGAATAATAGTGGAAAAAATAGTTACATGTTTTTTTTTTCTTTTATTATGCAGGGTAGGGTGTAGCAATAAAAAAGCAGCCCCCAATAACACTATAAATTTTGTAATATTTTGACTATATTTTGATTAATTTATGTTTGTCTTGAATTATTCAGATACAGCTGCAATACGAAATGACTCCAGTAGGTGTCAGTAATGCACCTAAAGAATTTGAATAAACACTTGGCTATACTTACTTGAACTCCACGTTGTACTCTGAGATCCTCTTCTGCCCAGCCTCAGTCAAATTTTCCCCTCCGTGAATCTCGACCATATTTTGTAGTGCAGATCTTAACCCTTTCAACTACAATGACCAAATCACAAAACCATGAAGCATTAACAATATGAAAATGAATGGTTACTTAACAGTGTTTTTCCTGCTGTGTACCTTCTCAATGAGGTGCCCAGTGAGGTTAATGTGTTTCCTGTTGAGATACTGGTCGTAGAGTTGGACTAGACGTGATCCCAGGACGGGCTCGTGGCTGAAGAGGGGGTGATGAGAGAAGATCAGTCCAGAGACATCCACATAGAGCTGGAAATCTCTAGCTGAGTCCTCCAATCCTCTAAAGTACGCATTTTCCTGCTTGGACATAACTGGCTGCGAAAGAATAAAGAAAATCAATTATGAATCAGAGAGAGAGTTTTACAAAGTGGGTCAAAAGTGAATTAAAGAAATCCAGATTTTTTTTTTTTTTTTTTTATTGTGAGGATTTTAGGAAACTGAAGTCATCACACTTTAATTACATGAAATAACTGCTGGAATTGTATACAGTACTAGATAAAGATATTAATATAACTGCTTGATAATATTTTTGATGTGCAATTCCTAACTCCTAACCTTCCTGAAGACAGTCTGTAGTGCCGGGTCCAGCTCTTCCTCCTTATGAAACAAAGGAGGACGTGTGGATGACTCTTTTATTGGATTTGGTAATGCCATTATCCTGCTGTCATCGCTAAACCACTTTTTCCCCTTTATAAAGAAACAATCACATTATACAAAAGTTTTTAAAGTATATACTTATAATCTCATGTGCATGGTGTTACTTCTGCTGACTTTAAAAGACGATTCTCTAAAATATTCTCATTGGTCAAAGACACAGGGGGTCTCTCTCCTACATTCAGACCCTCATCTTCCAGATAGTGAGGCTTAATGTTTTCAGACAGTTTTATACATGTTGGAACTGTAAAAATGCAGCATACACACAAATTAGACTTTTAACCGGTATTGGCTACAGAGATCACAACTATACAAAGATTAATAATGTATTTATTTAATAAAGAAGTGTTGTTTTTTTCCCCCATCTTCTTCCAATTTGTCTCAAAACTTAATTTTGTCTTCTGAATCCAAAACATAATTTATAACCACACCAAAATAATTACTGTGGCCAAGTTTCATTTAATAATAATTTAAGGTAAAACATCATTTGCACTATTCTGAATCTGTTCTCTAGAGGACAAATGATGGATAATAATAATTATATTAACAACAACAACAACAACAACAACAACAACAAAAAAAATATAATAATAATGTTGGAACATAATTATTACCTGGTTGTAGCTGGGTGTGAAGAGTAGCTTGCTTTCGTGTTGAAGGCGCTTGTGGTATCCGATGTACTCAACTTTCTTCACTATAATAAAATCCTCCATTGACTCTTCCTCATTCTGCAACAGCAAGGATAAGGCATTAACAAAAAGAAACATGTGAATCAAAAATAAACTACACACTGAAATGCATACTCTCTCCAACACAGGGTTCACAAACTGTGGCAACACATTGCGAGTTAAATTAATTATGAGGAAATATTGCTGAAACAATATGACAAACAAAAATATCAACAAAGCTCACATTTCTCAAACTTTTACAAAGCCTTTTACCAAATGATGTGCCTTTTACAAACATCTTATTTACATATTAAATCTACATAACTTTAGATTTCTATGAGCATATCTTACATGATCTTCGTCTTGATTTGCCCGATCTATTTCCGACTCTTCTTGCTCCACTTTCTCACCATCCTCATCCTCTTTTTGATCTGACTTTTTATTCTGTTCCTCACTCTCCTCAGGCTCTGGTTCAAAGTTGAATGTAAAAAATGAAATGCTTCTTCTGCTGTCAGGATGCCAGTGTCATTCTATTGACAGAAAGATGCAATATCTGAGTATAGTATTACATGATTACTATGGAAATTGTAGTGTTCTCACAATCCTTACTTTTCGCACTGCTTCTCTGAATTAAACTCTTGTGCTGAGGGAATGAGAGATGTCTTGCATTTCTGCATCAGGCTGTAAAATTAACCAAAATATACAGCAAATGTATATTAAATAATTGAATATTCACAATGCATACAGTTTTGCACCAGATTTAAGTATTAATACAGGAAATACATATATAAATATACGCATTAATAAACAAAAACATGTCTTATAGACACTTACAGAGCCATACACTGGATGTGCTAGCTGTGGTAGTTAACAGATCATTGATAACAACAGATTAACTGCAAAATAAAACTTGGTTTAATAAAACATATTCCTACATAAACATAAAACATCCTTTACATCGTGCTTGTACCCACCTGTAAACACAGAAAAACAGTTCTGAGTAATCGGAATTTACCCGATTATTATAATTTAGATCAGGGGTCTCAGACTCGCGGCCCGGGGGCCAACTGCGGCCGCACTGACAGATGAAGCTGCAATCGGTGCCCATGCAGATTCACAACAACAGATTATTAACGCAGTTTACATCCAAAAACTCAACTTACAGCAGTTGTGAAGCAACGAGTCTAAGTGGATCTGTTAATACGAGTACACGTGCACATACACGTGCACATACGGCGTCACCGAAGAACCAAAACAAACCACACATGGTGGTACACGTGTGCGCACTTCACTTTACGCTCCCATAATCACAGTATAAGAAATAAAAAGACATTGACAGTCTGTTTACCTGTTCAACACTCGGTGCGTGACTTGCTGGCAACCCGATGACCAAGCTCCACATATGTGTCGCCGAAATCCACGCGCACTCAGCAGCAAACACAGCTGTCCCATCAATATGCAAGCACCACAAAAACTGCAGTGATCTATTCCAGAGGCTTGACAACACCTTAGCAAAAAGTACGAGGCAAAAACAAGCGTCTTCCATCCATGTTTGACATACGAGAAGCAGATACACTCCAGTGTGGTCTGCTTTCACACCGGCAAACGAACCAAAACTGGTCCGATTAACGAACCTCTGTATCCCGGCAGAACAGTGATATCTCCAGTAACTAATACTGATGTTCCGTATTAATACCTGCGCTGTAGACTATACCTACAGGTCTGTGCTGCTCCTGTCCTCCGCGCTCAAGAACCGCGGCTGGTTCCGAGGTGGTGCAAAGCATCCGGACAGAACGTGAGTCCAGTTTAGTTGGTGTCCGCATTTAGTTCTTCCCGGGAAAAGCGCTTTTCACTCCCCGCTCCACGTCATCTGAGCCCGGACAGAACCGGAGCTGCTCCTGCTGGTTCGGGACTCTGGTTTGGATCTAGTCCGACTGTATTTCTCACACTAGGCTAAAAGCAGGACATTTTTTAAAGGTGAATCAATTGAATGGGCGATTGAATATTGCCATAAACTTATTTGGTTAATTAAAGCCTAAAATAAAAATTTGCTGGTTCCTACATGATCACGGGGAACACCGGGACCCCTGTGCAGGTCCTGAACAGAAGTACACACCCCCATTTTGACTCACTCTGGAGCCACACGTTCGCACACTGGTACTTGCTCTGATCTTCGTGTGTTACATTCTCTGTATTGGCCATTGTTGGTAAAATAATTCGAAAATGAATCGCGGCTGCGTCTGGACAACAATCTGTTACTGCGCTGGAGTCGTACAGCGAGTCATTACAGGCAGGAGATGCGTTTCTCCCATGATGCATCTAGAATAGTTCGTTTGGACCTGCTGTCTATGGTTCGGAACCGGGTTCGCGTTCACACCAGAGGAACCGCACCAAAGTTGGTCATTTGGTGCGGATTCAAGCGAACCGAGACCACCTCTTTTTTGAGGTCTCGGTCCACTTGAGTTGGTCCGGGTCAGAGTCCGATTGACGCTTTCACACCAACGCAAACGAACCGAGCTAACCACTTCCATGGACCGTTTGGTGCGCACCAAATACTGTCGGTGTGAAAGCACCTAATACAGGTCAAGGCTCACTGATGAGCATCTTCAATCTATCCTGAGGATCTGCTTCCTCCTGCAAGCCAAATATCTCTCAGCTGTACAAGATGAAGCGTAGCCAGGTTTCAACCAGCAAGGAGTAGGCAAAAGAAGAAGAGTAGACGTATTAGTTTAAACTTACGTTCTGAATACATTTTCATGTTCTGAACAGTTATTAAAGATTAAGAAAGTGTGTTGCATGTTGTTCTTTCTGTCTTTTTTTCCGTGCAACCGCTATTTATCGAATACACAGTGCGGCCCAGCCTCCCTCAGACTTTATCTAATGTGGCCCCCAGGTAATTTGAGTTTGAGACCCCTGATTTAGATTGATGAGATAGATTATTTTATTTTATTATAAAAGAAAATTAATAATAATATTTTAAAAGTGATTTTAATAGATCCATGGAACTTACTGTTAACAGTTTAACTGCGCTGCTT